TTGTTATTCCATCTTAAGAAGTAAAAAGTTGAAGAAACTAGAAAATCAACAACTCTTCTTAGATCCATCACTGAAGTGAAGTTACAGGGAAAAACACTGCCTCAAAATTGGAGGAAAACTGGCACATACTGAGAAGAATAACTTACTAGAGAAGAAACGCAGGAGTAAAAACCTTCATGGGAATTAGTGCTGGGGTCGGAAGCCTGAACTGTGATGGACAGTATACATTCTGAATACAAGTTCACTGTCAGTCAGGCACATGGATTATAAATATGGCTTAAGTTTTCATTTTATTAATGCAGTCATTCAATAACCAGTTTTAATTTTTTTAAATTTTTTCAGTTCTTCTCCAGTTTTATTGATATAACTGACATATAACGTTGCATATGTTTAATTTATACAATATAAATTATGATATATGTTGTAAAATAATTACCACCATAAATTTAGTTAACCTACATCCCATCACGAAGTTACAACTTTTTTTTCTTGTGGTGACTCTTAAGATCTATACTCTTAGCAACTTCCAAATATACAAAACCATACTGTTAGCTACAGTCATCATGAATAACCAGTTGTTTTTAATGTTAATCAGATCTAATTATTTTTCTTTATGGCTAATGCTTTTACCATTTTATTTAAGAAATCCTGAACACAAGTTCACAAATATAGTCATATGTTTAAGAGGCCTTATGATTTTAGCTTTTACATTTAGAGTTATATTTTATCTGCCATCATTGTGGGTGTGTGTGTGTGTGACTTGAAGAAGAGATCAAAGTTTATTTTTGCAGTATGGGCTATCTAGCTGTTGCAGTAACATTTGTTGGGAAAAAAAAAAACACCTTTCCTTCCCCCACAAAAATTGCATTGACACCTTTACTATATGCATTAGACCAATTTTGAACTTTTGCTTGGGTTTCAAAGATCTATATATTCATCCCTTTACCTGCTTCCCATTGTCATTTTTACAGTATCTTAAAAGAGGGTCTTAAAACCAGTTTCTGGGATTCAAACTAGTATCCCAACTCTCCATGTGTGTGGACACCATGGAGTCCAGGAAAACATCTTTCCACAGATTCTGACATTCATTTGTCTATCCCTGCTTTTATTCTCTCTGTCATATTTTTAAGAGTTATTCTTGAACTGTAACAGGAAAAATAAATTGAAATATATGAACATGGATTTACCCTTTCATTGCTGTTACTTGATCATCTCTCTGAGTATCATCATTTATCTTCTTCAGGAGGTGTGCTGCCATTATTTTAGTTGTTATGGCAGAAATAGAAAAAGAGAGAATGGGTCAAATTTTAAATTTGATTACATAAAAAAGAGATATTTGAATAGTCTCAAAAGTAATATTTAATGGAGAGAAGTATTATCTAAATGCTTTATGCTACTTAGCCCAGCAAGAACCAGGACTGGAAGTATAAAAGAGAAAATTATATTATAGTCACGATTAGGAGTCCGGTTTTAAAACATGCCTGCAAACTCCTTTATATTTGTCTATCAGATAGTGGAATTTATTTTTCTTCCACTTAAATATAGGCTAGCCTGTGTGAACCTCTGCTAATAAGTAGAATTAACAAAAGAGAAACTGTTTGACTGTTGATACTAGATTAGGAAAGGTCTAATTCTTTCTTTTAGGACATTCATGTTGGCAACCCAACCATGTTGCAAGGTGCCCAAGCCACACAGAGAGGTCACGTGTCATATTACACTGTAGTACAAGCTTTGTTAATAATTTACAGCCAACATCGACCAGGAGATACGTGACGAATCAGGCTTCAGATCATTCCTGCATCCATCTTCTAGCATCCAGTAATTCCAACCTAATGCTGAAGGAAGCAAAATAAGCTGTATCCTTAAAGCCCTGCTCAAATTGAAGATCTGTGATTTTAAAAAAGCAAATGGGGCACCTGGGTGGCTCAGTCAGTTAAGCGCCAGACTTCAGCTCGGGTCATGATCTCACGGTTTGTGGGTTTGAGCCCCACGTTGGGGTCTGTGTTGACAGGTCAGAGCCTGGAGCCTGCTTTGGATTCTGTGTCTCCCTCTATCTCTCCCCCCACTCCTGCTTGTGCTCTGTCTCTCTATCCCTAAAAAAAATAAACAGTTTTTAAAGATTTAAAAATAATTCCTCCAAACACTCAATATTGCATTAGTTTGCCTCACAGAAATACATACCCAGAATGAATTTAGTTACCAGGAGTGGTGCTATAATAGCAAAACACTTTGAATGGGAGAGAGTGGCTTAGGCCCAGGTGGTGGGAGAAACTAAAAGGACACTGAGAGTCACAGACACTGTGAACAGAGGCTTGGTGGCCCTTAAGAAGGATGTTGTTGGGAGACAAAACGAACATGAGAAAAATGTTATTGGAAGGTGGGAAGTTTAATGATAGTCACCTTTGTTAACATGAAAAATTAAAAAAAAATGAACTTGATGATCTAATTAAGAATATTCCAGATAGAGTGTTAAAGTTGCCATCTGGTTTCTTCTAGTTGTTCACATTAAAACATAAAAGAAGACAGCATAAAGAAAACTTTTGTTTGTTTTTTTTTGGTTTTTTTTTTGTTTTTTTTGCATAAAGGAAACAAAACTCTCAGGTTTTGGTTTGACAATAAAACCATTTGGCATCTACATACTCTGCAGTTAGCAAATGATTCTAAAAAATTAAAACTGTTTTTTTGAGCTGATATCAAATTCAAGGCATTATCAGGAAAATACAGTCTACAGAAGATTCTCAGGGCAAGACCGTAAGTATATCACAGATATACTTATTGTGGTTTCAAACAGACAACAGTCGCTCTAAACATCTTACTGCCATGTCCCACTCATGTTCTTTATTACATAATAGGGCCTGTCCTCACAACCGTACAGGAAGCCAAAGATAGTGTTAAAGAATTAAACAAGGAGGCCGTTAGACAAGTGACTCTAACATCTTGGTAGCCTATATAAGCAAATGTAAGTCAGAGTCAATATGCTCAAATCCAAGAAAGTGAAAATTAAGAACAATCAATTGTAGCCAACAAGGCTGTCTCAAATAAGGTGACTGCTTATACTAGAACGAATCAAATAATTGCTTTGTTTTGCTTCTGTGTGTTCTCTATAGCAAACTTGTTTCTAGCTCTTGTCAGTGGAGCACCCCTAACCACTTTCTGTTGGGCACTGCCCAATTCAAATCAATGTTTGATTTGAATGTTTATTTTTTATGTTTTTTTAATATTTATTTATTTTTGGGAGAGAGAGAGGGTGTGTGAGCAGGGGAGGGGCAGAGAGAGAGGGAGACACAGAATCCAAAGCAGATTCCAGGTTCCAAGCTGTCAGCACAGAGCTGGACTCAGGGCTCAAATTCAAGAGCCATGGAAACTCTATCCATTTTAATGCACCTCAGTTTACTTTTTAACAATAGGAATGAACTTATGTTGATGAGATTGGTGAGTGCAGCTTTTGTTTGTGGGAACAAATGCTATTGATACATAAAACCTGCAAGAATTTTGAGAGAACATATTGGTGAAACATTACCAGCTTGAACTAAGACAGAGGCAAAACAAAATAGTCTATTGACCTTTAACTAGTATGGGCATGGCACATGCTGAGAAAACTGTTCAACTCCAAATCCTAATCATTTCTTTTTTTTTTTTCTAAAGATGTATTTATTTGGGGGAGCACACAGGTGGGGGAGGGGCAGAGAGAGGGGGACAGAAGATCTGAAGCAGACTCTGCACTGACAGGCTGACAGCAATGAGCCTGATGTGGGGCTCAAGCCCACTAACCATGAGATATGACCGGAAAGGAAGTCAGATGCTCAACCCACTGAGCCACCCAGGTGCCCCATGCAAATACTAATCATTTCTAATGGAAAAGAAATGAGAATGCAGATAGTAGAATCAAGAACTTGAAGGTGCATCCAAGAGCCATCCAGAATCACTCCCAGGCCATAGAATTGAGCCCTAATCAAAAAGCATGCAGCATGGTCTTGGCTGGATTTTAAATTTGTTGTATGTATATAATCTGTGGGTGTTCCCCTTTTTGAATGGGATGCTCCATAATAGCCAATCCTAGGCCAACCTCACCATCTTAATATTATTTGGCCGGGGTTGGGGGGGAGCACTGGCAGGAGGTGGCAGTGCTGCAAAGGAGTACATCATTTGTCTTTAAAGTTACCAGGTCTTCAGACACAGGGGGATTGTTCTGGAGGGGCTGCATTGAAGGTATTGTACCTGAAAAGACTCATCTACATCTGGATAAATTTAGATGATGAAATGTTGAGCTTTAAGCTGAACATTATTCCATAATAAATGAGACTTTCCTGGGGTCACGAGAGATGGGTTAGTAAACTTCACATGTGGGAAGAATAGAAATAGATGGCAGATTATGGCAAACTCATTGGCATTTCTCTCCATCAAAAGATGGATTCTAATTTCCCTTCTTTAAAATATGACCTGACCTGGGGTGCCTGGGTGGTTCAGTCGGTTGAGGGTCCGACTTTGGCTCAGGTCATGATCTCACAGTTCATGGGTTTGAGTCCCGCATTGGGCTCTGTGCTGACAGCTCAGAGCCTGGAGCCTGCTTCAGATTCTGTGTCTCCCTCTCTCTCTACCCCTCTCTCGCGTGTGCTCTCTCTTGCTCTCAAAAATAAAAAAATAAACATTAAAAAATTAAAAAAAATATATGACCTGGCCTTAATGACTTATTTCTAATTAATCAATGTCATGTAAACGATGATTGATGAATTGCAAAGATAGTTTCAAAAAGGCAAAGCCACTTTTACCTTCCCATTTCCCTCTTAGAATATTTACACTTTGTACACAGTCACCTAATTGAAAGGAATCCAGGACAATGTGGAGAGGGCAGGTGTAGATGCTTTGACTGGCATCCCCTCCACTTAATCCCAGGCTATAGTCAGGACCAATCACTAGTCATGTGATTCACTTAATATATCTATCTGTCATTTTGGAGAAACAGAAACGATGGAACTCTGAAGGATTAACTACATATCTAGTTATCCAAAAGAATCATTTATAATGAAAGAAGAATATTTCAATCAAAAGATTATTTAAAATGGTAAAAACTCATTTCTCTACTAATAGAGCTCTGTGATGGCTCATAAAAGAGATCGACACAGCTCTTAAGGAAAGAAAATTTTCTTTTTCTGTATATATCTGAGTTCATTTCAGTAAACTGCAATCCCACTACAATTTTTGAATACATATTTTAAATGTTCAGTGAAGAGTCACAAATACATTTTGCAAAAATAAGCCTGCCTATACCTTATGCTATTCAAGATTTTATAATTCATTAAACCAAAACTGTGTTATAATTGTGCAACACAAAGATTAAAGTTATGGCTTTAGTTAAATATATGTGCTCCGTCTTACTGAAATAAGGAATGAAAGTTTGAGGACATTTATAGATCTGAGGAATATAAACAGGGTATTAAGAACAGAATATTAACATGGAAATAAAGAATCCCTGTCTCTTCTGATGAAGTGAGGGAAATATCCAGAAGGATATAAGAACCTGTAACACAGAAATAAAAGTACTGAAAATGACTTCTTGTAAACCACTAAATAGTTTTCAAGCTCTTTGAGACTTGCCTTTTACTTCTTGTATATGTTAAAATAGTAGATAGCTTTCTGTTCCATTGGAAAAATATGAAGACTGCCATGCAAACTGCTGAAAACTCTTTCTTTTTAAATATCTTTCTCTTTGTCTTCCCTGCCTTTTACCTAATTTGTGGACCCTCATTCTCCTTCTCTGTTGCCGTTTTAAGCTTGTGTGGGAACAGGATAAAATATGTAGGGTAACTGGTATAACACGTACATTTAATCTCATTGTAAACTCACTTAAATTCTAAATGCCTAAAGCCTTCTATTTCTATTTTTGTTGTTATTGATTATTAATGAAAGGGTGATGGGTTTCAGGGATCGCTAAACAGTGGTACCCTATTGTTTGAAGAAAACTAAGTACATAAGTAGGGAAGATACTTGATGGGCTTTAAAAAGGATATTTAAATTCCAGATTATGAGGGAAATGAAAGCATTATCGTAAAGTGAACAAAATTTCACTGGCCCCCAAATGTCTAAGTGTTCCCTCTTCCCTCTGTGGGTTTCCCTGTACTGCCTCCTCTTGCTTCCCTGTGTACTCAGAACTTGCATTATGGGGAATGTTACTAGGAATGCTATGAATTTCTTTACCATTATATAGTTCTTAGGAAGCATTGCATTTCAGATTCTCTAGATTCAGATTCTGTAAAGAAGAAAAGAACAATCAACAAAACTGCTGAACTTAAAAGAAAAAAAATGCTAATTAGTAAAGAGTTGTAAATGGGTTTGTTTACTTTAGGACCCTTGATTTCTTCCTGTTGTTCTTGAGTTTTCCCACTCTGATTTCTACATCCATCATATTTCATTTCTCTGAAATCAGCTTATGCGCTTAATGGTCCAGACTGGGCAATCAATGTTGATTGAAATCAACTTTCAAATTGATGCAAGAGGTCCACTGCTGCTCTAAGAACCAGCTGTGTAAATCTAAGAGAAAGAGAACTGTCAGCTTTTTCCTTATGTATTTTTACATTTTCTTAAGCATACTGCTATTATAATGACCAAGTAAGCACTTATATCTAGAAAAGAAATCGTTGTTATAAACACCAAAGGTTATACCTTCAAATCCCTCCACTCTTACATGATGTTAGACAAAAATAAAAATTACTGCTGGCTTGTTAGCAACCACTTAGAAACTATTTGATTTCTTGGATACAAGGATAGGGTGCATGTTGCTGTGGTGCTTATTGAGGATATGCTATTTCCAAGGTATACTCATGGAAAGAGTGCCTTTTGTGTTGCTATGGAAGAAGGGCCCTATTTTCAAAGTCATCCAACCTAGGGTACTTCTAATTACAACTTGATGTTGGTTTTACAGAGAGAAGGCTCACAGCAGGGCAAGGCGAGATTGTTTCATTTCTCTCCCAATGGGATATCTATGTTGGGCCTTCAGAATTGAAACCAGGGAGGCTGCATTATATGCTTTCACTTGGTTGCCCTGGGGTGAATACAAGACATCATCTTTTTCTGTGAGAGATTTTTATTTGCTCTGTGTGGTTTCTTCTCCTTTACCTTGGCCTCCATGAAATCCCTCACTTTTTGCTACCAAAAACAAGTGACAAATCTCTTATTCAAATATAATCATTATTTGCCTCTGTAGTTTTAGTTCAATTTTTTAAAACATTGTTTTGGCTTTCTGTCATACATTTTTTAATAGACTTTGTATTTTAGGGCAGTTTTAAGTTCATAGCAAAATTGAGCAGAAGGTGTAGAGATTTCCCATTGTCCCGGTTGTCCACATTAGATGCAGGCTCTCCCACTGTCAAAATCCCCCACCAGAACAGTACCCTTGTTACAATTTATCAACCCATACTGTCATATCACCATCACCCAAAATCCATAGTTTACATTAGAGTTCTCTCCTGGTGTTGTATCTCTATGAGTTTTGATAAATGTATAATGACAAGTACCTAACATTATAATATTGTACAGAGTAGTTCCACTGCATAAAAATGTTTTATGCTCCACTAATTTATCCTTCTCTCCTCCCTAACACCTAGCAACCACTGATCCTTTTTCTTGTCTCAATAGTTTTGCCTTTTCCAAGATGTCATATATTTGGAGTCATACAGAAGGCTTTTCAGATTGCCTTCTTGAACTTGGTAATATGTATTTAATATTTACCCATGACCTTGTGCACATACCTCTTTATGCTGTTGCTGTCACAAATTACATCTTTATATATTACTTTCACATTATCATAGATTTATAACATTAGTTTATGTATTTATCATTTACATTATGTAGAAAATAAAGAAAACAGGTACAAACCAAAAACACAATAATACCAGTCTTTATATTTATTATGTAGTTACATTTACCAGAGTTCTTTATTTCTTTATATGGCTTCAAATTACTGTCTATTATCCTTTCGTTTAAGTCTGAGGGACAAACTTTAGCATTTCTTGTAGGACAGGACTACTTGCAAGGAATTCCTTTAGCTTTTTTTTTTTTTTCTTTAATCTGGATGTCTTAATTTCATCTTCATTTTTGAAGGATAGTTTGGACACATACAGAATTCTTGACAGTTCTTTTTTCCTACTTTTCTTTCAACACTTTAAACATTCCATCCCACTCCTTCCTAGCCTCCATGGCTTCTGATGAGAAATCTGCAATTAATCTTATTAAGGATTCCACCCACCCCCCACGCCCCATCCCCCACCCCAGTACATGATGAGTCACTGTTCTCACACTGCTTCTTCTTTTGTCCTTGACCGTCAATAATTTGATTATAATGTACCTTGGCATGGATCTCTTTGTATTTATCCTTTTTGGATTTCATTTAGCTTCCTGAAAGAATAGATACATGTCTTTGATCATATCTTAGTCATTTCTTGGAATATTCTTTCTACCCTACTCTTTCTCTTCTTTCCTTCTGGGATTGTGATTATGCTACTCTTGGTTCACTAACAGTATCTCACAAGTCTTTATTCATCATTTTTATATTTTCTTTCTGTTCCCAAGACCAGATAATTTCAATTCACCATCATCAAGTCACTGATTCTTTCTTCTGTCTGCTCACATTGGCTATTGAAATCCTCTAGTAGTGAATTTCATTTGTCAAACTTTTAAGGCCCAGAAATTCTATTTGGTTTGCTTTCTCTTTATTGATGTTGTCTATTTGATCATACATTTTCCTTCTGGTTGCCTATACATCTTTATCTAGGATCTCCTTAGCTCTTTGAACATATTTAAGACATTGATTTAACGTTTTTGTATAATAATTCTGATCTATCTTCCTTCAGGAACAGTTTCTTCTGTATATGGGCCATATATTCTTCATTCTTCATTATTCATATTTTTTGTTTAAACTAGAAATTTGAGTATTTTAATATGGAGACTCTAGAAATCATATTCTCCTCTTCTTCAGTGTTTGTTTTGTTGTTTGCTGTAGGCTATGGCTGTTTCCTTGTTAAGTAATTTTCATAAAGAATTTTTTTAATGTTTATGTATTTATTTTTCAGAGAGAGCACGTGCACAAGTGGGTGGGGGGCAGAGAGACACAGAATGTGAAGCAGGTTACAGGCTTTGAACTGTCAATGCAGAGCCTGATGTGGGGCTCGAACCCACAACTGTGAGATCATGACCTGAGCCAAAGTTGGATTCTCAACTGACTGAGCCACCCAAGTGTCCCAATTTCATAAAGTATTTTTGTAAAGTCTGTATTCATTTCAATGCATGGTCTCTGAAGTATCTATTCCTTTAGCTTTGTGTTCAGCCTGTGTTTTCACAGATCTTTTCTTGTACTTGAAGAGCTGAGACAGAGAGGAAAAGAGAGAGAGAACACATACACAAAAAGTTTGACAGAGATTTCTTTGAATACCTATTGCAAAATAAATGAAAGCAAAGGTAAGAGTTTTTGCAGATTGGCTCTATGTTGGGACACTCCTTCAACACTTAGCCATGCTCATTAAACTCTGCCTTAGAGGCATCTGCATGGCTCAGTAGGTTAAGCATCCAACTTCTGCTCAGGTCATGATGTCATGGCCTGTGGGTTGGAGCCCCGTGTTGAGTCCTGTGCTGATAGCTCAGAGACTGGAGCCTGCTTCACATTCTGTGTCTCCCTCTCTTTCTGTCCCTTACCCACTCACACTCTGTCTCTCTCTCTCAAAAATAAATAGACATTAAAAAAATTTTAAGAAAATAAAATTCTGCCTTAGTCTTCATTTTCCACTTGCATTGAGACTAGAGATCAGCTAGAGGTGAATGCTTCGGTTCTTCTAAGGGCTTTCTGCACATGTGTCTTATTTTCTTCACAATAATTAAAGTAGCATTTTAACTGTGAAAGAACTTGAACTTTTTTTTGACAGATCTTGAAGTCTGACTTTCTCTATATTAAGATTTATACTGAACAACCCAAGCAGATTTTAAATTAGTAAATGCTAAAACATCAACCAGTTTATAGCTATAATTCATGATTTCTATTGTTGTAATAAGTAAACATACACTAATTCAAGAGAGTTTGTGGATCAATAGAAGAATGTGTAACACTCTTCTGTGTATAGGACTTGAGACTCCAAAAGTTTTTACTACACATTATTTAAAAACTATATGAACAGTGCTAGTTTATAAAGATATAAAGATTATATCTTTAATCAAATGCACAGAGTTGTACTCATTTTAGTTACATAGTAGTCAATATAACAAACATCATGTTAACAAAGAATATTTTAATACTATTTCTGGAGAAATTAATGGGTCTTACATTCTCACCAATATAAACTCCATACACACAGAAATGTAGGCATATTAAATACACACATTATTCAAGTACTTTGCCCAACAAACTAGTAACAATTCAAGTATTTGTCTCATTTTCTTTACAATTATTTTACTATTTAAAAGTTACATGAATCGGGACGCTTGAGTGGCTCAGTCGGTTGGGCATCTGACTTCAGCTCAGGTCATGATCTCACAGTCCGTGAGTTTGAACCCTGTGTAGGGATCTGTGCTGACAGCTCAGACCCTGGAGCCTGTTTCAGATTCGGTGTCTTCCTCTCTCTCTGCCCCTCCCCAATTCATGCTCTATCTCTGTCTCTCTCAAAAATACTCATTAAAATTTTTTTTTAAAGTTACATGAATCAAAATACCAAATCCCTGAATATCATAAATGCAAAAATGCCAAATAAGTTACTTTCAAATAAGTTAAACCTGATGATTTTGAAAAGGCAGATATATTCATAATAGAGAGCACTTGTATTGCAACATTTAAACACAGATAAGAAATCAGCTAGTTGGTTTCTGTATGTTTGGCACTAAGGCATATTTATATTATACATATATGTGCATGTGTGTGTGCGTGTGTGTGTGTGTGTATACTGCATATATACTGTATTTATACAGTATATAAACAGTAAAACCTTGGTATGCGAGCATAATTCATTCCGGAAACATGCTTGTAATCCATAGCACTTGTATATCAAAGAGAATTTCAAGAACCATTGACTCAGTTGTGATCATGTGACATTTGTTGTCACATACTACTCAGATTGCAAGACATTGTTCATTTATCAAGTTAAATTTTCTTAGAAATGTTTGCTCATCTTGCAGAACAGTCACAGAACAAGTTACTCATAATCCAAGGTTTATGAATATATTTATATACACACAGTATATAAACTCAGGAGTGTTGTACTGGCAACATTTTGTTAGGATCACCAAGAAGCATAATAGTGCAATCATAATGTGTAGAAAGAAAAAAGAAAGAAGTCAAAAAGCAGAGAGAAAAATACCTCCAATGTTTCTGATTACTTTACATCTATCTGGAGGAAAGACTCATTCCTGCCCTTATATTCCAGAAAGTAGCTCTCTGCTAATCTAATAACTCTTGTGGTTTTGGTTTAAGCCAGCTTCACTATGTTCTCTAATAGGTAACTAAAGGAGTCTTAATAAGACACAATACTTTTCAAAGTAATAAATTATGACTG